GGGAGGGAGGGCGAGAGGAATGATGGGAAGGAGGGGGGATTGGAAGGGAAGGTTTCATCACTTCTGAGAATTTGCTCATTCTTCAATATTGTGTCAGTTGGAGGATGGAGTAGGTTGGTTTGCCAGTTACAGCTTTTATCAACTGGTTGATATGTATCCGTTGAAATTGGAATGATGCAGAAGAAAAACTGTGTGACCTGTGACCATTGCACAATGATAGAGTACATGAAAGCAAGCCACCATTGACCAGTCACTGCATGGTTCTCTGCGTGTATACTTTTGCAGTTTGTCAAGAGAGTCCTTCACACGCGTCAATTGAGTGCATGCTATGCTCTCTTCTGCAGGTGTTATTTGCTGCTGCGCATGTCTTTGCCTCCTCCACGGTGTCGGATTGTATGTGGCCTGACGTACTCGCTATAGCGTGTGGAACGGTGGCCCGTGCAATAGCATAGCGATCCCATGCTTTACCATTGCTTCTGACACTATCGCTATGCCAACAATAGCAATGGTAGCAATTCTATACCATTGCTATTCATACCATTGCTTTTGGAACCATTGTTATATCAATAATAGCAATGGAATGGTACCTACTTGTGGGATTGATATAGGATGTGTGAGTTTCTCTCAGGGCTGTATTTGATATAGGGTGGTGGGTGCTCTCTGTGTGTGTGTGTGTGTGTGTGTGTGTGTGAGCAGAATGCCATGCAGAAGGGATATGTTGAACTGTGTGATAGGCCTAACGTGATGTTGATGTATTGTTGGATTGCTGTGTGTGATTGCATGTTGTAGGCGCTTGCGAAGGGGAAAACGTCAGAAGCTATAGCAAGGTTATTGCAGCTAGCACCTACGTCTGCAATTCTTCTGTCGATTGACTCAGGTCAGACAAAGATAACAAACAAAAATTTGAATTGAAATGGAATCTTCCTGAAAAGGGGGAAAACACATCCGTCCTGGGCACTAGGAAGTAATCAATGCCATTGTCTCAGGGTCCTTTGGCCGTAACAAAGGGCAGCATTGAGTGGGCACATGATGCGAGGGATGCTGGACCCAGTTTCCATCTCTATGAATAAGAGTGATGTCTCAGACAAAGGAAAAAGGAAAAAGGAAAACAAGGAAAGAAGAAGGGGGTAAAACAGCTTCTAACTTCTAATGTCTTTTTATGTTCGTTTGGAGTTTGGAAGTCCTTGCAAGAGCAGTTCTAAGGAGGTAATCACACCAGGACTTTCTGGACTGAATTTGAATGTAGTTGCAGCCAGATACGTCAAGGAAAGAAAGTCTGAGTGTGTCTGCGCTGACTTTGACTCATGTCGATTTTTGCAATTATGTTATCCACTGGAAATGGATGTCCATGGGAATTGACGCATTATGACCACCCATTTCGCTGCAGCGTCTTTGTCCTCCTGTCGATGGAATCCACCTGTGTGGGGCCCACCTTCCCCGGGAAACAAGTTCGGTTCCTGGCGGGCTGGGCCGAGCTGTGCGGGACCGTCTTAGCAAGGGGTGTGCAACTTGTGCGTGTGAGTCTGCCCTGACCCAGACTCATCTCAGGGTTGCGATTGTATTATCCATTGGAAATGGATGTCGATGGGAATCGATGCATTATGACCACCCATTCCATGGCAGAATTTCTGCCCTCCAGGTTGTAGTTAGCTATTAGCCCCAATGCAGTACTTCACTGTGCGTTGTTGTTTGAACTTGTTTCCCATTGATTCTACCGGAGTGTGTACGATCCACGTGTATGGGACCCACCTGCCTGGGAAACAATTACGGTTCCTGGCAAGGTGGACCGAGCGGCCTGGGAATGTTTCCACAAGGACTTCTGGGCTAAGTTGAGAGCCCTCCAGGTTGTAGCCAGCTGTCAGCCCAAATGCGGTACTTCACTGTGCATTGTTGTCCCTCAGTAAGTCTACTACCGGAGTGTGTGGGGACCACCTGCATTGGAGTGTGTGGGATCCACCTGCATTGGACCCACCTGGCCGGGAAACACTTATGGTTCCTGGCAGGGTGGGGACTCAGCTGCGTGGGAACGTGTTTGCAAGTAGCGACTGGGCTGAGTGGAGAGTCTTGCGTCTAAAGCTTTCATAATATAATATCCGGTTTCGAAACTGGGAAATTCCTCTAACGTGCCTCGATCGACACCAGAGAAAGAGGTCGGCTAGCCAAGTTATATATACGTTGGATAGGAAGAGGATTCTCTAATAAGCCACACTGCCTTGCAAGGAGCAATGAAAGCTTGTGGCCTTAAATGCTAATGCCTGGTCGAGAAGTGAACTTAGGTCTAGTATGGGGATGCAAACCATAAAGGTCTGCTACGCTTTGTGAACCCGGTGTGTGCTGTAAACTTGTGGACATGTTGTACAGAACTCGGTTGCGGTTAGCTGGTGGCAAGTTGAAGTACTTTGCAAGCGTTGCACAATGAAAGCGTCAGGGTGGTTTCTGACTGGCAAAGCATAAGAAAGCATCGGTGTGGTTATTACCTAATTAATCATCCCGGGGTCGATTATGGCTACTGAAATTTTACTGTATTCAACCCGGCGCCCCTGAGAAGCATATTAGTAAGCAACAGAGAAACCTTTCATGAAGTTGAAGTGTGGTATGTGTGATTCTGTGCATGATTGATTCGTTTCGTTTCGGACTGAGACTTCTTGGATGGCTGCTGTGCTAAGGGACGTATGGGCGATGGCGAGGATAGAGGGAAAAGCCTTTGGGATGAGAATAATCTTTCCGAATATAGAAATGACAGCCTTTGGGATGAGAAGAATCTTTCCGAATATAGAAATGACATTGACAACTGGGTACCTTGTGTGCGCGTATGACCAGATGGGCGAGCTGTGGGGGAGAGAGAGATTTCGGCTGAGCTGGTCCAGAGAGGAGATGTGCTCAAGGTACAAGCGGGCTCCTCTTTTGCTCCGTTCTATTTCTTTTGAAAGGGGGATGCTGCTTTTGTCTTCGTAATCAGCACAATTTATAATCTCGATTCGGCGATGGATGTGAGTGTGCTGTCCGGTTAACAGCAAGTTAGAAGGCGTCCATCAAGCTTCTGGATCAATGTCTGCCACAGCAGTTAACCAGCTGTCCTGCGCCATATAGATCGTGACATAACTTAATTCTTTTGTTTTCTTACTACTTCACAATACTCGAGGAGCATCGGTGAAAAGGTTTTCTGCCCACAGTGCAGCCCCTATGCTACTCTACGAACGCCCTTGCCTTAGACGTTCTGCAAGTTGGTGGTTGATTTGAATGGAGCAAAAGAAAGAAAAGAAAGAACTATGCAGAGAATGACAATGAGAATGGTTTCGGTGTGCGTCTTGCCGTCGACTCTTTGCTGCACTTGTTTCGCAAAGTGCGCTCCTTCAGTTGATAGATATGAATATAATAGACTATCATGCTGGCCAGTTTGCATCTTTAGATTGGCGTGCTGGGTGGCTTGGGCATGTTGGTGCAGTGCCTGTCAGGATTAAGTGCTGTGAACTGTTCAAATGCCCATGCAACCCGTTGTTGCTGCTGCAGCTCCCAAGGTTTAGGACTTCAATATTCTTTATCTGCTCTGCTTCAACATGTTTGGTATAGAATCTACAAATGTTAATAGTTTATCTATGGCAGCTTCGGCTGCTGCGGCAGAATGTCAATAGTACGGGTGCTATTTGTATGCTATGTCTGCAGTATGTGGCATGCACTGTCCATGCTATGTGCCGTACGATGTGCTGTACTATGTGCTATGTTCTGTGGCCTTGGGGCTGTTGACTTTCTGTCTTCTGGTTCACTGGTGGTCTGTCCCAGTCCCACTTTTTGTGGTCTTCTGGTCCCCTCTTTTTGTATTGGTTGGCAAGATGGAAAGTGCACAGGGAGCTGGGGCAGTTCTGGGTAGTTAATAACCTTTGGAACACCCAGACAGGGTACTAAAGGTCTTCCTTGGATAGTACGATTCCCCATCCTCGCCAGGGCAATCCTTCATCGTTATAACCTATTTTGCACATTATGGTCTGACCCTTCATGATGTTACTCTCTATGTGGGAGTTTGTAGTGCTTCGTATATCATTGCTGTGTGCTTGGGTTCACTTTCCAGCTGACTTTTCTCTCTTTTAAGTTATAACCCGTCTGAACTTTGGAAGATACTTTCTGTTGTGAATGAGTGCAGGAGATAGTGCAGGTGCTGATCTCCTGTAGGAGACCTCCACCATGGGGGTCAACCTTGGCTATCGGAGCTCGGGAGGATGGTTTGTGTATATTCTTTTGTCTGTGTGTGTGTGTGTGTGTGTGTGTGTGTGTGTGTGTGTGTGTGTGTGTGTGTGTGTGGAGGTAGTTTGAGGGGCAAAGTGTATGGCTGAATGATTGTGCTGAATGGCATGCCACAGATACTGCCTGGAGCGAAAGTGCCAGTGGATGGGCTGGTTATCTGGGGTGAAAGCTTTGTGAACGAGGCTATGATCACTGGGGAGTCGTTGCCTGTGTACAAGGCAAAAGGAGATGAAGCGATTGGAGGTACTGTGAATACCAGTGGGGTAATGCACATGCGGGCTACACGCGTTGGCAGAGATACAGCACTTGTAAAGATCTTGCAGCTTGTCGAAATGGCTCAGATGTCAAAGGCTCCGATCCAAAAATATGCGGACTATGTGAGTAATCTTCAAGAACAGTTCCCTTTTCTTTCATCAGGAAAGGCCTTATGAGCCTGGCTCCGTATCCATTCTGGGCAGTGTCACTTCGCTTCCTTTTCCAATGGCAAGTCATATAACTCCTTCAACATATGACATCAAGAACAGTTGCCTAACCATGTTAAGAATACAGAGGCATATTCCGCTATGGGAGACCCTTCGATTCTGGGGAGGGGCCAGCAATCTGTTTGGTTTTCCACCACGAAGCTACGAATACAGAGGCATATTCCATACCATGGATAACCCACTCGGCATAACCGTCAATTTTTGACTGAGAGGTATCTCATCCTGAGTCGCGTTACCATTTTTTTGACTGAGGGGTAACTCACCCTGAGTCGCGTTACCATTTTTTTGACTGAGGGGTAACTCACCCTGAGTCGCATTACCATTTTTTTGACTGAGGGGTAACCCCTTTTTTTTTCTTTTTTTTTTTTTTGCCAAAAAACAGGGCCTTATGGTCCCGACTCCTTCCATTCTGGGGAGCGACAGTCCGGTTCCTATTCCACCGGGAAGTCAAAGTATGATACATCACAGCAAACAAACTCACGCTTCCTCCCGTCTGGCCGGAGGACCCCTGAACAGCATTGATTGCTCCACGTTGGGTGGAGGATTGACTGTCAGCTTGCCCAGAGTCGCTCTTCCCTCTCAGATCTACTTGTTGCAGTCCTGCCAGATTTATCTGTTATAACCTAGAAAGAGTTCCTCTCGTGCTGTTGCCCACACATGCTGTCCCTCGTCCCCAACCTGCCCTTGCTGTGATTTCCTTAGATCCAGCTACCCTCCCCCATCCTTTGAGTTGTGTTGAACCCTAAACCCTAAACCCTTAACCCTACTCTTGTTTGGATGCTTTAAATAATAACTTTTCCCCCCTTACTTCCACCTTCCAGTGATGTGTTGACCGGATCCCTCGGTGTCCCCATACTGCCGTCACTTCTCTATGAGACCCTCCCCACTCTGCACCCTCTTTGATCTCGGCCCTCCTTCCCCCTTTTTTTTTTTTCCCTTCAATTGGTGGCACCTCCTGTTGGCTCGGATGGTTCTTACTGACGAACGCAGTTTCGCTCCCCTTTCTTCCTCTAGAGCCACAAGCGGCCAGTGCTAGATTGTGGCGAACGGCTGCGGTGACAGGGCAGGTAGACCCTGTGGAAGCGGTCTCCTGCAACCTAATCCGGTGAAACCTCCTTCGATCCCAACCCTTCAAGTCAT